ATCTCCCCGGCTCCTAGTGCTCAGTATCTTTAAGATCCATGTTTGAAGATTCAATCAATCTCAGAGCAAGTGTAGAATAGAGGATTTGTGTGTATGTGTTTCTGTGCCAGGTATGTATGGATATTTTCTGTGTCATTATTCCCTGAACAACTATTTGCACCCTGTTCACATTGCATCAGATACTATAAGTAATCTAAAGATGGTTTAAAGTATAAAGGACATTGCGCATAGGTGACATGAAAATACTTGCCACCTTATATAAGGGACTTGAACTCATGGAGATCTGATTATCTTTGAAGGCTTTCTAGAACAAATTTCACACGGATGTGGGGGCTAGACTCTACTGTCAGCTTAAGACACTTGAACATTTAGTTTAAACTGTAGGATAAATACTCCATCAATACAGATGTTAAGGTTGTCTGCCCCCATACTAACTGTTAGGTACGAACCCACACGATCAACCAGACCAGGCATTCTGACACGAGTAGAAGATTTATTGGGGACAGCAAGCAGGCTGGCTGTCTAGCAGACCAAGACAGCAGTGAATAAAGGAGAGACAGGAGACTTTATAGTATCTTTTAGGGAGTGTGACTGCAGGCTGGAATAGCCGAGGGAGAGCTGATCTTGGCAGGGCTACCTAGCCTGTGGAGGACCTTTAATGTTAACAAAGGAGAGTTTTGTGGTTGCTTGCTTAGGTCAAAGTCAGGTGGACCTGCTCTACTGTTTTGCCTTTGGCTCTGCATGGGGCCAAGGGGGAGAGAGTTTGGGGGCAGGGTGCCTGGCAAACCAAGAGGGAGATTGTCTGGGTCAAGGTGCCTGGGAAACTTTGAACTCTGACCTATCGCTAACAGAATGGGGCTCTACAACAAATGCTCTTTGCATTAGTAGGGCACATGGTGACTAGCTATGGCACATGAGTGACCCATCACCAACCTGCTCTTTTGAGTCTCCTTCTAACGTCTCTTGCTTGTGGATGTTGTCTTGGCAGAGGACAAGATCTGGATGTCAGTGCAGCACAACAACACAGAGCTAACCCGGGTGCAGGGCGCTGACCCGCAGAAGCCCTACATCATGACCTTGGACTACGGCAGCAGCTTGGAGCAGCTGGAGGCCTTGATCGATGGCTCAGAGCACTGTGAGCAGGAGGTTGCCTACCTCTGCAAGAGATCGCGCCTGCTCAACACGCCTGGTAAGGCTCAGGGCAGGGACAGTGAGGAGATGAGTCTCCTAAACCTCAAAGATCAAGAGGAGGAGTGTTTGCCAAGAAGGGGCTGGAGTTGTGGTTGCTCAGCATTGAAGTGTGGCCAGGAAAGGCCCGGTCAAGTCTGAGCCTTGGCTTGAATACCCAGAAGGATTTGAGTGCATTGCAGAGCCTCTAGGGGTTTGTCCTAAGCTTCAGAAGAAAATGCAGACAACAAACATCCTATGATGGTTGTGGAAATGATGAGTATGTTGAGAAAAATGGCACTTGAAGAGAGAGGGCCTGTGAAGATCACACGGGAAGGGTGGTGGTAGGAGGTGGCAATTCTGGGAAGGGAATAAGATGTTAGAGGGGAATGGATTTCAGTACATTCATCCAAGATGGCACATGTAGTCTGGGAGAAAGAAGGTAGAAGGCAGAAGATTAGAGAAGGAGGCCGGTTAGACAGCCAGAGGTCACTGTGTGCTGATGCCGAAGGGCAGAAAGGGCAGAGGAGTTACTGAGGGGTATTCTTTTGAGCTGCGGAAATGGCGCGATGGAATAAGTGCTTGCCTGGCAAGCACAAGGTCCTGAGTTTGATCTCTGGTACCACCGGAAAAAAAAGTATTCTTTTAATAACGATCTTTCATTTTAGAAAAAGCAAGCCAATGCTTTTTATGTGCTTTCCCTTTGAGGTGATGATTTTAGAGGAAATGGTTGATTTTTAGTTATTAACAAGGAAAATAAAGAAAGAGACAGAGAGGAATGGAAGGATGGAAGGAGAAAGAGAAAGAAATAGGAAAGGTGGGAAGGAAGGAAAAAAGAATGAAGGGGAAGGAAGAGATAGAAACAGAGACAGAAGGAGACAGATCAAACTTCTGTGGGCACTTAAGAAATTTAAAAAAGTGGAACCTATAAGAACGTGTACAAGGAAGAGGCTGTCATGTTTGTGAAAAAGGATTTGCTGTGACAGAAAAAGCCCACAAGTGTACTGGGGATCCACCGAACGGTACCATGGTCTCTGGTCTCATGAAGCTTAGAATGAGTGCTTGGAGCTTAGAGATTGGGAAAGAGTGGAGAGCTAGACAAGGAAACGTCAGTGCACGCCACGGGAGAAAAACCCCAACTAAACAGTGTGCTGCTTCACTGATCTAGATCTTCAGGGAAAACGTTGTTCCACATAAGTGAATTTTCCAGATAACTGTCACTTAGCTCTTTAAGCACTGAAAATCTTTTCAAAGAATTTTTAACTATTTGAAATGAAAATCTTTCTCAAATGGATTACACGCTTCCTTGCCTTTCTAAACAGAGAATTGTAAATGTGAGATGTAACCTTTCTTGATGACTCAGGATCGTCATTGTGAAAATCAATTATTGTCCCCTCCCTGGGCTCAGCCGCACTTGCAGGCTGATTAGATCAGAGGCACTACCCGTGTCCCTTTCCTCAGCGTCCTTACACGCATCACCTGCAAGAGAGTGTTTGTGTTTATCCGTGTTTCCCTGTCCCCGACTGTGAAGTCTGCTCTGTCATTCTCCGCTCTTCTCTGAGGATTACTTTATCCACAGACCTCTCTAGCTGACTTCATTGTGTTGCTTGGAGTTTTCTGGCTGTTGAGTTTGGTAGAACTATAGGAAAACGGCATTGCGTTCCTGCTGGCGACGGGCCTTCCTTTGGAATGGGTGTCTTGGACCAAACTTAGCTGTGCCACTGCCTTTGTGTACACACTGCTTTGCCCTTGAACTCCACTGTCTTAAGTCCTGGGTGTGGATCTGCCTAGGAAGCACATGGATTTGGGTGAGGCTGTCTCAGGAGCGAGGGCTGGACTCTGTGCTCACTGTGCATATGAACTGGGCCTCTGCTCAGTTTCCACCACCCAAGCCACCTCTTGATACATGGGTGTGAACATGCTGAACTCACAGCCCTGACAGGAGGGCTGAAGAAACAGTGGAGTCCGGGCTCCTTGTGTAGTGCTCGATGCCCGGTAGCTATCTCCGGACGCTAGTGTCCTTGCCTGCAGCTTCTCCCGGCAGGGAAGGTGCAACATGTGTGCCGTCATGGGGAAGAAGCTCAGAGAGGAGTGCTGTTGCTGTTTGATTCTTTAACTAGATTACTTGTAACAGGTATACAGTAGGATTGAAAAATCCATACGGGCTGGCAGTGTCGCCACCAGACATGTCAGTATAATATTCCACTGGGGAGCCTTTAGATATGATTTCCAATGTACAGTACATTCACAAAGATACCGTCATCTACGGAGCATACTTTCCACATATTTCAGCTTCCAGGTTCATGTCAATATTCCCTTTCTTGGATTCCGAGTCGGTGTAGAAAAATGAAGAAGATGATGGCACGCACACCCCGTGTCTCCTTCTTTTGGAGAGTTGGCTTGGAGAATCCAGAAAGGATGCTTTGTATCTCAGAATATGCCTCTAAACTAGCCACTGGGC